ATCGCTCGCAGAAGAAGAAAGACAAGCGGTAAGCACAATGGACGGGAAAGTGATCTGCGGAGGGAGGGCCGGCTAAGTGTTAGCCATTGTCGCCCCACGGACAGGCAGGAGAGTTGGAGAGGGGAGAATGGAGACGCGGAGAGCCGTGGGGAGGCAAAGGAGAATAGTGGGCCGGCTCAGTTAGCCTGATCGCCCATCGTTAAGTGAGCACAGAGGGAAGAGAGAGCGAGTCGGAGAGGGCGAGAGGAGCAGGCCGGGGACGAAATTGAAGCACGATCAGAAAGGAGAACGATGAGAAGGGGCGGGGGCACGGCCGGCTGCGAGAACAACGAGCCAAATCGCCCATCACCCTGCTGAGTGCTGTGGTCAGACTGGGAACGGAAAGACGGAGGCAGAGAGTGCAGCAAGCGGTGGTAGATGCGCAAAAGGGGGCATCTGGGATCAAGTGGCCGTGCAGGAGGCCGAGGGGGAGGAGAGCCGGTAACAGAGAACAGAAGTGCGACAGGCACAAACAGGATGGAGAGAAAACGTGCAAGCAGGTGGGGAAAGGCACAAAAAAAGATGAGAAAAAGTGAGCAGGACCCGGGCTGAGAAAGGGAACGAGCAGAGACACCAGAAGGGGGAGGTGGAAGACGGGAAGACGAGAGGGCTTGAGGGGAGCATTTGGGCGGAGAGAGAACCCGAAAGGGGGGGAGACCACTGGGGCGGCCATGCGAAAGGCAAGGGTGTAACGAAGAAGGAGGGAGATGGCACTAGCACCCCACGGAGGGGGCAAGGTGGCTGGAAGGTGGGTGCTCTTCGACGGGGAGATACCCGTCTTAGTGCCGCCCCTGGGGTCCCACCAACCTAAGAGGCCACCAAGCACCCAATGCTCCGAAGGGCCCAGGGGGAGTTTGAGTTGATAACTTTCTTGCCTTTGTATGGGCATCGGTTCCCCCTTTCAAGCCCCGGTGGGTGGGCACCTATACATGTAGCACTGCTGAGACACCGCAAGACTATCAAGATCCGGAAGCAGAAACAGTGGGAAATCGAACCCTAAGTGAGCCATTGCCGTGTCTGCTGGCAATCTCAATTCTTGAGATGTTGCCCTGATGCCAAGATCCTAAGCTTTGGCCCAAAGCTGCCGCTGTCACACAGATTCCACGTTGGCCGGGGTGGATGGGGGCATATTATGGGGGGTTGGGGGGAAGGGTGTTGCGACGTGGCGCCATATATGCGCTGCGTGTGCTGGTGCTGGTGCACTTGTCCGTGTGTATTTTTAGCTAAACAAACTGCTACCCTGGAAGTTTGTTGCTTGAAACTATCTAACTTGCCTCGGTCGTTTGTCTTGTCTGCAAAGCTCAGGCGGTTTTGCAAATTTCAGATGTTTCGCGGTAGACGTGACAGAAAGATAGCTTTGTCAGAGCTTGCGTCAGTCGTCTTCCATTCCCGTGTTCATGTTATGCATCGACGCGTAATTATATAAACAGTGGCCCCAATACCGGACCTCGAAAGGCGCGCACACAGACAAATGCGGGCCTCGACATTCACTCGTTGGTGCAGACCATGGCAGAGGTAGAGGGGCGGAGGCCGAGGGGGGGGAGAAACAAACTAACTCGGAAACCTGGGTCGACGAGTTTGTTTCGGAGGACAAAAACAAACTCAGACCATGCGAGAAACAAACTCTGGCTGGAACGGTTTGTAGGGTGGGGGTGCACAGAAACTAACTCTGAAACTCTGGCTCCACGGGTTGTTTCGGCGGCCAGAAACAAACTGTAGCCGGGCGAGTTTGTTTCAGCAGCGAAAAACAAACTCTGCTAGTAGAGTGGTAGAGGCTTGTTTGCTTCAGCGACCCCAGCGATGTGGCGAAGCTGTTTGTTGGAGTTTCGGTAGGGAGGGGCTCTGAAAGGGTGGGTTGTTTCGCAGGCCGAAAACAGACTCCGACCAGGCGAGTTTGTTTCGGCAGCGACAAACCAACTCCAGCTGGCAAAGTTTGCACGGGAAAACAAACTAATTCTGAAACTCTGGCTCGACGGGTTTGTTTCGGGGGTCAAAAACAAACTGTGGCCGGGCGAGTTTGTTTCGGAGGCCAACAACAAACTCCCATAAGGTGAGTTTGTGAGGAGAAGCCACACCAGTTTGCTTTACGGTGTCTTTTGTGCCACCCACTTGGCAC